TTCGCTCCCTTTTTTTATTTTAGGTATTATTGAACAATCAAATTCCAATTTCAGCCTTTTACTGAGTTTCATCTTTGCCTTCCTAGTGTTGTAATGCTTCTGTATCAAATGCAGGAGAGTATTTAATTTTACAAACTTTCTGTGGAGTTTTTAAGTGTGAAAATATTTCCAAAAATTAACACTTGTTTGGAGAGGGAAGTCAAATGCAAGTTGAAGCAACTTTGGTCTGTATATTTAATGTTTCCTATCTAATTCTTCTTCTAATTCTATTCTAATTTTCTTCTTTACTTGTATGAAGTCATCTTACTATGTGCTTTCAAATCTACGCATCAGCAGCAAGGAGTAGGCTCTGTCATAGCAGATGTGTGAGGAGAGGATGTTGTTTCAACACCAGCAGCCCAAAGAGACAGAAAGAGAGAGACTAAGAAAGGAAAGGATTACTTGCTTGAAAGGAATTTGGCAAACTAAGGAAGTTTGTCAAATAGAAATCGGGAAGGATGAGGAACAAAGATGTATCCATTGCTGTGCTCTTCCTAGTGCCATTTGCTGTCTTCCTGCAAGAGCTTCATCCTTTCCCTGATGTTCCCCTTAAAAATACCCGGTAGACTCTGGAAAGACACCGTATTACTACTCTAAAATAGTGGTCTGTGTAATCAATTCCACTTCAGCTGCTGAATTTAAAATAAAACCACCACACATTGAATGGAGCTCAAACTCATTCCTTTTTTTAAACTAGAATGAAGAACAGGAAAAAATACATATGCAGTGTTATGTTGCAGTGAACTTTAAACAAAATATTTCAAAGACAAGTAAAGGGAACAAAGTGCTTGAGTTGCTAAACTGATGGCAGCAATGTCTTCTTCTCATGCAGCGTGTTTGGAAATCTTGTGAAGGATGAGAGGGGCCCAGAATCCGCTCTTTTTACTGTGCTTGTAGGAGTCTGGATCATACCTTGTAACTTCTAAGAAAGTGTTCTGCTAAAATGTTTTATGTTCTGTGTTTTCCCTGCAGCCCTTTTAGCTTTAAAGTTTCACTTTAATTAAAGTACACCTCTGCTTTTTACAGACAAGAGCTGGATTTCCCAGGACAGTCAGCTGCAGGCAAGAACCAGGCTGCCATACCCGTGGCAGCGAACGTGTGGCCCTATTCTGTGTCGTCATGTACACAAAATGCTTTGGGAGCTCTGAACCCTGGATTATCTTATAGATGGATCCTTAGTAGACTATCTGAACCATTTACAGAATATTACAGAGTATTAGGAGTTGGAAGGGACCTCGAAAGATCATCCAGTCCAACCCCCCTGCCAGAGCAGGATCACCTAGACTAGGTCACAATTAGACTGATTTCGGGAAAAGGAGGGAGGAGATTCAGTGTGTGGATGGTTGAAATGCCCTGAGTAATCTTCTGAACTGCAAAGAAAATTACCACCATTTTGCTTTATTTTTTCAATCAATATTTAGAAAATCTGAGCTTGAGAAACTAGACTCAAAGTAAATTTAAAGATCCTAGAAGGGGTAAAGCTTTGGGTATTTTACAAATAAGTTACTATACCAGAAAAAGGTGAATTAAGTTTCACCAAACTTCTGATCTTCAAACCTAGAGAGCTCCTCTGGCGTTGAAACGGCACAGGCTTCTGAGCTGTTTTACATTTGCGTGAATTGGAGAGGTCAGAGCTTGAGTTTTGTCTTGCGGTGGAATCAGCAATCGCTTGCGTTCATCCAGAATTTGCATCATGTTTTACACTTAGTCTGCCTAGATAGTAGGAGAGATTTTAGCTTTAACAATCCATCTCTTTTTCCCTATGTTCATCCTAAATTGATGGCCTTTATGTTGACCTTTTAAAACCAGAAGAGATCACATCTCTGCAAAAGGTGTTGAAGTAATACCTCCTTAGGAGAAGAAAAAAAGAAAAAACCCTAGCCACTGACAAAACTGTTGGAGAACATGTGTTTAAAGGGCGTGAAATTATTTGCATGTGCACTTGTCACCTACGAGGAATGGGTCATCCCCTGGGCTGCTCCTAGCCCTGCAGATGCTCCAGGGCAGCAGAAAACAGCACTTTGGAAGATGCTGATGCAGAGTGGGAAATGAAAAACAGAGTGGAAGCTTGTTTTCTCTTAACGTGTTGTTACTCCTGCTCATCTCAAGTACCTAAGAGGAACTTTTTGAGGCTTCTCAAAAATGTGTAGAGGAGTGGAAAAATAGTGGGAAGAGAGGTGGTCTCGTTTGAGACTCTACTGTTTTCAAGCACTAATTCTGGAGGTTCTTTCTTGCCTTTCCCTGTCTCTGAACTTGTTTAAAATGGGGCTCAACCTTCAAATCAGAAGAAAAGCATTTGGGAGCACTTGGTGTTTCATCCACCTTTCGTGCTCTCAGACTTACTCATCAGAAACATCAGCGAGTGGAACAGGGCACTGGTCTGGCAGAAAGGCACAGATAGAGACAACTCGGATACTGTTTTCTGCTCCTCCACTGGCATGCTGCATGATTTGGGGGAAAAATCAGTTCCCTCTTACTGTTTTCCCCTTATATAAAACAGCAAGGAATAAATTTTCCAGGCGATGTTGATTGCTTTCAAATTTTCTGATGAAAAGTGCTGCATAGGAACTAGTCAGTGTATCACTGACTGCACGAATACTACTGAAACTGTAATATTTTTTCATCCTCTATGTCAATTTGGGTTACAGAGGAAAATTACCTGGTTTTCTCATTTTTTATTGCTTTCCCCAGCGCTCAGGACCCCAGGCCACTGATGTTATGCAGCAGATGCTTTTCATAGATCAGATTAAGGGTTGATGAAGTAACAGAGCCTCATGCAAGCATCCCACTGTGCTCTTTAAACTGGAATTTCATTCCTGGTAGTGATCTGTATGGCCTTGCATTTACCTTAGAAAAATATTATTTAAAAAAAAAAAAAGAAGGTGGTACTTGGAAGGAAGGGAGGTAGTATTAATATTAAATTCTCTCTAACATATAGTGTTCAATATGTCACTGAAGGCCTAATGGTATTTAATATATGGATTCTTCTAAATAGTGGATATGTAATTCTCCTAAGATGTTTTACAAACTAGAAGAGGAAGAGGTACAATTGTTCACAAATGTTTCACTAAGATTGTTTTAAGTCAGTTAAAATTGCCTTTGAGAGTAGGGTTGTACTAAAAAGAGAGAGGAGAGATGGAAAAAAGAAACCCCAAAACAGGGTCCTGCTTAGTGTAGAGTTTCAGGCGAGAGAGGAAAAGGTCTGGTTATCCAGAGCCAGATGCTTTGTTAAAAGTTCATACTATCACTTTGACATTTAGAGTAGGACTCAGTGTCTTTGTAAATTCCTCTTCGTATTACCAGTGTAGGTCTCTGAGCTCAGACCATTTCACAAACCATAACATTTTTTAGTGAGTGATTGATCTGTATTATGTGTCCCAGCCGTCAGAAGGATCTTGGGATGTTGCTTGTATAAACTGTAATACAATCTGATCCTGGGCATTTAGTTACAGACTTTCATAGACCTATTGGCGATACTCAATCCTCCTGGATTTGGGAATAGAGCTTATCTGATACCTTAAAAAAAAAAAAGGGGGGGGAGGGGAGGCAGGAAAAAAAAAAAGCCCCTCATTTTCTCTGTTCCCCACTTAAATAACTCAACACATGTGGTAACACTGTAGGATCATTGTCCTTTCAGGTCCTCTGCAGCTCATATTGCTACAATATTTCTTCGGTATCTAGTTTCCTAAAGGGCAATGTGATTTTTTTTTTTTTTCAGGCTGTTTTTATAGGTCTTGCAAATTAACCCATGTGCATTGCAAGAAGAAACATGACTTTTAATCAGCACCATTTCTAAAGTTAGCGCTTGCTGTGTGTATATGAATATGTATATGAACCAGTGTTTAAAAAAAAAAAAAAAAAAGAAAACGTAAAACCTTTCTGCTAGTATTCAAAGCTGGCATACAAATGTGTTTTTATTATCAAATGAAGTATGCCTCAATGTTAAAATGTCTTTCTGTTAGGGGTTTTATCATTTGACTTCTTGTCTTCAGTTACAAGAATGATAAAAATTGAAACTAAATCTTTTAATTCAATAAGAACTATGTTGAATTTTAGGAAGCAAAAGGAGGAATCAGATATAGACTCATATGCATAGGAAATGAAACATTCAAGAAATTAAAACTTGGTGAGCAACTAAAGGGGTAGCCTTAAGGTGTGCGTATTTGAAATGCCTGCATTTAATTTTACAGTAAATCTGAGTATTTTGTTCCAATTAAGACAGTTCATGTGCATGACTTTAAGTTGTACAGTAGTTCCAGGGAGACCATGGACTGCTTGTTTTACATTCTGGATCAAGTTCAGATTTTTAGGCTTCGCTTGAATAAAATAAAAAGTCTGAACCCTGAAGATAATACAGATTGATAAATCTGATTTAAACATTCCTGTGTTGCAGACTTTCAGTGTATGTGGTACAGCTGAGCCTCGGGCCATGCACTAAATACATCCACAGTGCATTCCCAGGGCACCCGAATACCAAATGATCACATTTGAAAGGTTACCTTTCTATGGATTCTGACTTTTCTGTATTAGCCACGAAGATTAGAATTTTAACAGCTCCCAATGAGAGGTATTGTGAAGTATTTACTTGGCAGGAAAAAAACAAAACAAAACCAAGCCCAGATGAGGTACTGTCTCATATTCATGAACTGGGATTTATTAGTTCTGTGAATGTCCTTGTGAGAATACACTCCATAGTTCACACTTTAGAAACAAGAACAGTCTTGTTTTTCATTTATATTAACTTAAAACTTTGATAGGAGAGTTACAGTAGTAGAGGTTATAGCAGAGAGACAGGATCATGCTTGTGCACAACACGTCCCAGTAAATCCTGCTGTCTTTCACACCCAGCTTTCTGCAAGAGAAGTTAAGGCTGTTTATCTCTCTGGAAATGTGGTGGTAGCTTTGTTAGTAAATTTGGTGATAACTAAAGATGTAAGGCTTTTTCTCTTTTTCTTTTACAGGTTGTGGAACTCATTTCAAGTGCTATTGGTGACTTAGTTCAAGGTATATATTATGAAAACTCAAAATCATCTGAGGTAAGAATTTCAGTCATTTTACATACCCAAGAAGTTTGGAGATATTAATGTGTGGCTACAATAAACATGATGACTTTCTTGTCTGTTTAAAAAGAGGAGGGAGAGGGAAGAAGGGAATTAGCTGCAGTCCTAGGGAGTTTCAGCAGTAACATCATTAGGACACCTGTGAACTCGGATGGAAGTTTTTAGAAATGCGCAAGGAGGGACTACTTTACTTCTGTGAGTGCTTAATAAAATAATATCATGTGTCATTACCAGGAGCTCTAGACATGTCTTGCTATGGGCTTTCCAAACACTTCCAGAGGTTTCTAGTCAGGGTTCTGTTAGAGGCATTTATTGCAATGTTGTCAACATCATTAATATTTTCATGTTAAATCTCTCATTTCCAAGCCCAAAGATGTTTACAAAAAATCCCAAATTTGTATCAGGTCCTTTCTTCTTCTGAGTGTTCATCTTTTTCTAGTATAAACATGAGTTTTGTCCTGAAGAAGTAGGGGTGTAGTGCCGTACTCTTCTCCACCAGAAGTCACTGTGCACGCATAGCAGAAGTTGGCATGGGCAAAGACACTGGCTTCCAGCGTTTCACACCAAGTAATATTCTGTTTCTTCAAGGGCAATTACAAATATACTGTGTTATTGTGGGGCAAGAACTGTAATGAAAATTGGTCAAACTAGACCTAGGTATTTCTGTCTTTACTAGAAGAACGTTTAAGGAAACTTATAGAGACACTTCTTGAAGTAGGTTTGCTTGGGCAGGGTGTTGAAGGAAAAAAATACTTCCTTCTTTCATTTGCTATGACTGTATCTTAGCATGTGCAAGAAAAATGGCAATTTAAAGTTGCCATGACCTCCACAGGTTTTATGATAGCAAGTTCTCGCTGTATGGGAATGATGAACAGTGTGTATATGTGAATATCTATCTTGAAATCCACAGGGGTAGGTAGATTTACTTACAGTGGTGGTGTCTCATGTGCCTGGTTTGCCTCAGAGACCTGAATCTTCACATTCAGTAGATGAAATGGCTTGAAGACTGCAGAAATACATGAATTCACTTGTATTTGCTGTGGATTTAGATTACAGCTCTGGTTTACTATTGCCCTGTTGTAGTATGTAGCAAAATGAATACCTTAGTGGAAGCCCTGATGGCATGGGCTACTGCCACGGGAGACACCTGCACTGATGGCTCTGGACCAGCTAGACCGCAGCGGCCAGCAGAGACAATCAAGCGGTGGAAGTGCTGCTGGTCAGTATCTGTCTGTCTCTCCTGCTCTGCAGCAGCAAAGGTGTTACTAAAACTAACCTCGTTTAAGCTTACCCTTCTCATTTTGATTGAAACCAGTTAGGTAGGAAGCGATCATGCTGAGGAGCTGAGCTCTTCCCTTGGAGGATGCTAGAGCCTCTAGCAGGGAAGCTCTAATGGCACGCTCGGGAGGTGCCTGGGGCCAGGCCGCAGAGCAGGGCCGTCCTCTGGCACCTCTCACAAGGGAACCCTGAGTGGCAGCCTGGGAGCACTGCAACGTTGGGCACCTGCAGTGTTTAACCTGTTGGTAAACAGACTGTAGCCTTCGGGGTTGCGCCCAAGTGCTGTGCTCAAGGTTATGTGTTAGAATAGACTACATCTTTGAGATTTTTGCAAAGAATGTTGAAAATTTTATTTTCCGTATTCAAGCAGGTTTCTAAATACAAGTAGAGCCCAGATATATAATATTTTAAAAAACAACTACTCTATTATGTGTAGAAGTAAAGCTCTACAAGTTATCTCAGCAATGAAACTGCATTTTATTTTAACCGTGGCCCCTGTATAAATGAGAAATGTTGTGGACTCTTTTGGGTTCCTGCCACTGCAGAAGTTCTTAATCTTCTTTTTCTTAGTTGTCATTTTCTGTTTATTTTCTGTTGTGTTATTGAAGCACTCCACATGTGTAGATTGCAAGGGAAGTGTGAGATAAACTAAGCACAGCTGCACAATGTTTACACTGTCCTGGCCCAATTACAAGTAGCAAAGACTTTTGTTTCAGTGCCTTTTTCTGTCTAAGGAGAGGTGCAAGTACAGTACACCCTTCCTAAGGGGAACCCAGTTAACTCAAAACACAGTTAGTATGGTGCATAATAGATAGTGAAAATTAGCAGTGTCTGAAGTTTAGTTTTTATAGTGGGGAGTGCAGGGCTTCTGAAGAGACCTAGAACAAACAAGTGAGATCTACTTCAAATTTTTTTATCTTGTGTACAGGAAAACTGTACTTCATGTGTTAAATGTCTTTAATGCAGTTGTTATAAAGCTCCTCAGTGCCATAAAATAGATTAATTTAGCACCAAGTTGTTTTGAGCTTTGCTAGATGTCTACCTAGATTGTTTTATCTTTTACTTTAGACAAAAATAAACGGCAAAATTCACCTTTCTCCTCTGAGACCTTAAGTTCATGTTTACCCCCCAAAAAATGTTTCAGTTTGCTTCATTTGGATGACCCAGTTAGAAAATTGAAAGAATCATTTGACCTAACAAGACTGACCATATTTATTCCTGAAGACATATAATGGATATAATTATTTGACAGCTCTCATTACCACTTTTTTTCCTCTATAAAACTATGTGCAATCCTACAGGCATCCCATTTTAGTACGTTTTCTTTGGTTATTCTTCATCTCGTCTGCATAGTGAGTCATTAGATCTGTGTGAAACAGGGAAAATAAAGATAATATTTAACTTTTCATCTTTGTTTGAAGTGACAATCCAAACTACAAAGTATAGGCTTTGGTTGCAAAGGCAGCCTGAAGGTTAGGACTGCCACTTATGTTCAAAGTAGCAAATAGCTGCTGTGGTTTAAGACTTTGCATTACTGGCTTAAGCAAGTATTTTGAACCATAAGCTGGAGCAGAAAGGGGTGATGTGACAAACCTTTGCTGCTTTGTGTGCTAAATCCCCTCACAACCCAAAATTCTGAGTGAAGGACACTCTTCCCAGTTCCTGTCTGCCTTCCCTAAATCTCGGTCTAATTTATGAATAAAATTTGGGCCTTCAGTAAGGGCAAATATGAAAGTTGTCTTATCAGGCCTTCAGTCATGGCATATATTTTTAACAGAAGAACATTACACTGAGTCTCTGTTTCCTACTTTTAGGAGGCTGAAGGCTTAATGTTAATATCTGTTAACTCACAGAATACTGTCACACTTCTAGAAACTTTCTGTCTTAATATCCCAGGATCATTTAACAAATATTAATGAGGAATGCTTTAACATTGCTGTCAGTTCACTGGGCAGATACAGGTCAGCTCGGTGTCAAACAGCAGAATCGGGAGCAGCTCTTGTGCTTTACCTGCCAGACCATTCTGGTAATCTCAAAGTATTAGAGATTTTCATGGGAAACTGCTGCAGGTTGGTTTTTCCTCACCTCTGGAATATCTAGCTGATGCTAAACGTGCATTACCAAAACTCATTTTCAATGTCAGAATGGGACTGTTGGGTAAGACACCACCATTTCCAATGTGTTCTGCTGATGGGTAGAAGCTGTTAGGTAGTTTTGAAATTTCCAATGCAGTTGCGTAAAAATTGTGTAACTAGTATGTACAACGAGTTTTAAAAAGAAATACATTACTGGCAAGTACTCATTGTGCCAAATAGTGAATTAATAGGTATTTATTTCAGAACAGTATAGATTTTATTCTTTTAAATGATAATAAGGATCTTTTCCCAGCAAAATGCAGACTGCATGCAGTGAGTTGTATCAATTCTTCATTGGTCTGTGGTCACCAGTCCTGCTTTGAGGAGTAATGTTTTGGATACTGTGTCCATCAGCTGGACTGCTGAGGCTTTTGTTATAAGTAAAGGATTTGCTTATAAATTTTACCATAGGAGGTGTGAATCGAATGTATTTTGAGTCATGTAAACCACCTTTTAGCAAGGCAGCAGTCAGAATCAGAGCTTTCACTGGGTTTTTTTTAACAAATGTTTCTGTTGTAAGACAAAAGGGAAGGATAAAATATGGAATTTGAGTAAAGAGCATCTGTGAAAAGAATGGGTAAATCTGTCGGAGGGGGGTGGAAAGCATAACTAGAAAGAAGGCCAATGCTATTTATTTACTACTTTTGTTCTTTTAAATACTAAGCTTTTCCAGAGAGATTTAAAAGTAACAGATGTGGTGAGATATTTAAATCTATTATAATTTTCAAACTTTTTTTTTTAATTATGTGTTGGGTTTTTTTTACAGTGTCACAGTAAAGTATTAAGTAGTCAGTGGCGTGCTTTATTGCCCCATTTGCAGACACCCTTGTTTCTCCAAAAGCAGTGAGGACGTGTATTAGTAGACCAATAAAACATGCCCTGTCATGTTCAGTGAGCAGGAATACATCTGTCGAAGGCTTATGTGAACCATGTGCAAGATGTTTTGCTACTGGTAGAGAGATTTGTAGTTGCATTGGATTTTATTTATGTAAAATAGAAGTTCTTGAAGTAACTAATTTAAAACTTTAAAATGCTATTTAAAATATTTGTCTGTTTCTGTGGATTATTTGCCCACTGAGAACTGAACTAAAGTTTTATATAAGTGGTTCAGACACTTGGATCATATTGTGCAATGGCAGATGGCTAAGAAAGAGCTGCCATGGTATGAAAATCAAATAAAGGCTCCCTTACAAGCTATAGTTGAAGTTTTACATTGAAAAGTCTCCGACTTACGCTCTTTCCTGGTTTTGCAAATGGTTTTGTGCACTTTTAAGACATGGTTTTCATTCATATTTTCTTTAATATGCATATAGACGTCGTCTTTGGTGTGACAAATCAAAGTGAGTTATTGTAAGTGCCACTTTTGTACTAGGGATCCTTGTTACCATTGCTAAGAGCTGCCCTTCCTCATGGTTATGATTGCGTATTTTGTCCTGCAATTTCTGGGCCCCTCAGTTCAAGGACAGGGAACTGCTGGAGAGAGTCCAGCGTAGGGCTACAAAGATGATCAAGGGAGTGGAGCATCTCCCTTATGAGGAGAGGCTGAGGGAGCTGGGTCTCTTTAGTTTGCAGAAGAGGAGACTGAGGGGAGACCTCATTCATGTTTATAAATATTTAAAAGGTGAGTGTCATGAGGATGGAGCCAGGCTCTTCTCGGTGACAAACAATGATAGGACAAGAGGTAATGGGCACAAGCTGGAACACAGGAGGTTCCACTTAAATTGGAGAAGAAACTTCTTCTCAGTGAGGGTGACAGAGCACTGGAACAGGCTGCCCAGAGAGGTTGTGGAGTCTCCTTCTCTGGAGACATTCAAAACCCGCCTGGACGCCTTCCTGTGCAACCTCATCTAGGTGTTCCTGCTCCGGCAGGGGGATTGGACTAGATGATCTTTTGAGGTCCCTTCCAATCCCTAACGTTCTGTGATTCATTTTCCAGAAGTTTTTTATTTCTTCTTGACAGAGTTGATTGTTTCAAGCCCAATTTAAATTATGGAAGTAGCTTTACAAGAAAACCCAAAGCCCTCAATTTGACAGTTTCTTTCTAACAAAACAGTAATCGACCTTGCCATTAGTAAAATGGGAGCACCCTCAGCTGTTCTTTATTTCCCATAGGAAATGATGATTGACAGAGCTGGATTTGGGTATTTTCCCTGCACTCCCATGCCAACATTACCCTAACTGTATCTAGAGTTGGCTGCTTTCTTCCAGGGGTGGTGAGGGGTTTGGCTTTCTTCAGCTTCTTCTGCTACCCAGGCAGCATCAGGACTGGGTGTGAACTGGACCCATTTCTTGAGGACAGAACTTGTGAATGAGGTCACTCTATAGGCATTAATCAAACATCACAGCACTGTCAACTACAGCTAGAATTAATTTGAGTTTAAAAAGGCTTTTATGTGAAAGGCTGCTAGGAGTCTTCTGGGCCAGCTAATGTCCGTTTTTATATTTATCCTTTGAAATATCCACTGCTGACAAAACAAAACAAAGCTTACCGAAAAAGTGAAAATGTCTCTAACGATGTGTTCTCATGATGTCAGGTTTCACAGACTTTGCAATGTAGAGCTAGTTTCATTTTTCCCTTGATGTTTTAAAGTAATGTTTAGATCTTGCCATACATACCCTTGAAACAATGCAGTTTAGCTGATGAACAGTTTGTATAGAACATGAGAGTTATGCTTAGGAAAAACTGGCATTTGGGTTGTTGGAAAACGTTGCTGAAGAAAGTGTATCTGCCTCTGCCTTCTGAAGCAGCAGAAGCTTAGGGGTATATATGGTCATAAGATGTCCTGTGATTAAAATCAGCTATATTTTGGCTTGCAAGCTCATATGCTAAAGCACATCTATATGGGCATAACACCTTTTTACAACTGGCTTCTTTCTGTAACCCAGAGATTCACAGTACCTGTGTTTTTAAGATTTCTGTATTGGGTTTGCACGGCAAGGTTTTGGGAGGAGGGGGATTGCAGGGTTAACTTCTGTGAGAAGCTGCTAAAAGCTTCCCCTATGTCCCATAGAGCCAGTGCCAGCCAGGTCCAAGACGGTCCTGCTGCTGGCTGAGGCCAAGCTGATCAGTGATGGTGGTAGCGCCTCTGTGATAGCAGATTTAAGAATTGAGGGGAAAAAAAACCTGCAGCAGAACAGCAGCTGGAGGAGAGAGGAGTGAGAATATGTGAGAGAAACACCTCTGCAGACACCAAGGTCAGTGAAGAAGGAGGGGGTGGAGATGCTCCAGACACTGGGGCAGAGATTCCCCTGCAGCCCATGGTGGAGACCACGGTGAGGCAGGCTGTCCTCATGCAGCCCATGGAGGTCAGTGGTGGAGCAGATATCCACCTGCAGCCTGTGGAGGACGCCACCCTGGAGCAGGTGGGTGTGCTTGAAGGAGGCTGTGACCCCGTGGAAAGCCCACACTGGAGCAGGCTCCTGACAGGAGCCCACACTGGAGCAGGTTTGCTGGCAAGACTTGTGACCAAATGGAGAACCCACACTGGAGCAGTCTGTTCCTGAAGGACTGCACTCCATGGAAATGACCCACACTGGAGCAGTCTGTGAAGAACTGCAGCCTGTGGGAAGGACTCACATTGGAGAGAGCAGGGAAACAGTGTGAGGAGGAAGGAGCAGCAGAGACAACACGTAGTGAACTGACTGCAACCCCTATTCCCCTGTGCCACTTAGGAGGGGGGAGTAGAGAAAATCAAAAGTGAAGTTGAAGGGAGAAGGTATTTTAAGATTTGGGGTTATTTTTAATTACCTTGCTGTGATTTGATTGGTAATAAATTAAAGTCATTTCTCCAAGTTTTGCCCATGATGGTAATTGCTGAGTGATTTCCTTGTCCTTATCTAAACCCATGAGCTTTTTGTTATATTTTCTCTCCCCTGTTCAGCTGAGGAAGGGAAGTGATAGAGTGGCTTTGGTGGGCACCTGGCATCCAACCAAGGTTAACCCACCACAATTTCACCGCATCTTCAAATACGTCTCAAATTTTTGTCTTTTTTTAAATTTATTTTTTTTTAGGCAGATGTCAATTTTAGAGGCTTGAAGCTACTCCATGATGTTAATGTAGTGGACAGTAACTTGTTGTGTCATTATTTTCATTCCTGTGATGAAATTAAAACTTGTTTAAGAACAAGATGCTTTTGTAACAAATCATAGAATATATTTCCATGTATATGTCAAGTTGCAATGACTGTTTAAGCTGCTTCAATTCCTGCAGTTGATAATGTCTGCATTTCTGTGACTGCTCAAAGGCTCCAGCAAGCTAACTTCAACTTACAGGTCTTCTGAAAGATTTTTTTACTTTATAAGTTGTTTCAGGATACCCCTCCACAATATTTTTGTCTTGATTGGATTTAAAACAAATAGTTCTAAAAATCGCTGCCAATTTTCAATATCATCCAGCAAATTTTAGTAAATACTGTTTTTCTACTGAGCAGATTGGTTGTTAAGGAAAAGATGGTGTTGCGTCTTCCAAGAGCTCCTGATTTTAAATTTAAAATAAATTGATCTATATTTGAGTGAAAAAAAAGACTTGATACATAGGAAACTACTTGAATTAAATGCTCATTTTGACATTTTGCCAGTCATGGGAATTTGCACATGCTCTGGGCTGAGTTTAGATATTAAAACAAAAATACTACAGTAAAATGTAACACGAGGAAGGTTTAGGTTTGACTTTGTAAGTTGTCATACACGTAATAGCAAACATGTGGTTTCTCTGTTCTTCACTTTCCTTGTATAAGGTAATAGTATGTCTGAAAGCAAAGGCATTTTGGTACAGCTCTGGGTTACTTGGCATTGCAGAACTCGCCTACTTTTTCCATTAGTCTCAAATTATCCTCTCTCTTGTAATGCAGCACTTCTGGGTGATATCCATAAGGGAGGAAAATTAGAGCTGAACGGATGGATTCTATTTCATTTGTTACCGATTTCATGACAGATAATACCTTGCCAGAAAACTATAGGGTCACACAATTACTTCTTGCTCGTTTCTAAGTAATTTAATTGACATAACTTTGAGGGAAAAGGCTTGTTATATAAGAGGTGTTTTATATTACTTTTAAAGAATACCTTTTGGCTTAGTGTATGCTACAGATTTGGCTGAATGAAGAAATGACAAACTTTTTAATATTTATATGCTTGATTTTTTTTTCTGTAGCTTCTTATTACTGATTTTAGTTTTTCTAAGCAAAATGATTGTGATCTTTTATGGTTTTGGTTTTTCCCTCTCTAAGGAGTACCTAAAGGTATGACAGTAGCATGTGTATGTGAGAGAGATTGCAAGTCATATCTAGTTTTGCCACTATTCTACTAGTGAGTCTTTGTATTGACACCTTGTGAGCCAAAGGACCTGCAGTTGAATTTGGGCTTGGAGGGAAAGAAATGGATAAGTGTTAATTAAAACACTGTGTGGAAAGTAATCCAAATTCATATTTTTTTATACAAAGAGAAGTGTCGAGCATCTTTGACCTTACAGTCAAGGTGATAAAGTTCACTAGAGGCATCACTGAGATCGCTGTCAGTCCCCTGAGAAAGTTAATACCTGACACTTCTGAATCACAGCTTGATTTATTTATTTTTAATACTTTCAGTCATTCCTCATGCTCATATGGGAGTGGAAGAGGTACAAATCCTCCATCACAGTCATTCATTTTTCTAATGCAGTTATATAAACATTTTTAATAGCTTTTAAAATTATTTTTTCTTGACTGCAAAGGAGAAATTGTAGGGACGCCTCAAGTTTGGGACCGTTGGTTCTTGGTAACTGGCAAGGGGCTGAAGTGCCAATGAACTCTTTTGGTGGGGAGGGCCTAGGGAGTGGTGTTCATCTTTTTTCTTTTTTTATTCCCTGGTACCTCAGGAGGAATATAATCACCCGTTAATGTTCAGTGTAATGATATAGTCATTAAGAAAGGATCTACGTCAAATCTCTTGACAGCTCCACCTATTTTCTGTAGTTCTTTTTTTAGCAGAAAATGAAAATGTTGTTTGTTGAAGCTGCTAGCGTATTTATCCTGATATTTTTCTCTACACATCCCCAAAACAATACCCTTCTTTATTTAGCACCTGAGCACCAGGAGTTTTGTCACTCACCACGTACCATGTTATCCTGTGCTGTGCCGTTAACTGCTGCAAGCTGACCCAGCTGCAGTTTTGGTGTTTTCATGTTAGCTTTTGTTTCATTTTCAGGAGAACAGTCTTACGGATGATATCGGCATTTCTACGTGGAAGGAGCAGGTTTTCCTGTCACATAGTGCCTTGCTGGCAAAGAGCTGCCAGGCTGCAATGGAGCTCGCAAAGCACAGCGCTGAGATTCAGGACATGGCATTTCAGTATGGAAAGCACATGTCTATGAGTCATAAGGTATGCCTTTCCCTCTCATTCTTGGATCTTAAATACAGAAAGACTTGTAAGATGTGTTGCTCTTGAGCTCTGACCTATACTGCCACTATGCTGTAGGCTTTTGCCAGCAGGTCAGTGGTGTTGAGAGATCTGGCTGCTGCCTGGTGTGAAGATGTTTGCAGAAACTGCTGCTATGAACAGTGTTTATGAACTGGCAAAATCACAATTCTGGCAGTGTAGCTTGTTTCATTCAAGGCTCTGTTAATGTCCCTCTAGATCATCTTCTGTAGGAGCTTAAAACGTTACCTTCTCTGCTTCTGCACTCCTTCTGAAGTCCCTGTCCCACTAGCAGGAGTTGCAGGAGCAAGCACGTGTTGGGTCTCAGCTGCCACCATGCAGTGATTTGTACCAAGAGGCTCAACTGCCTGCAGCAGAGCACAAGGCTGATGAGGCATGAGCTGCGGTGGCTGAAGGACCTGCATGTGTTCCCTTCTGAATAATCTGTGGAGGTAACTCCCAGAGCGGGTAGTTGGGGGATAAGGAAACAGGGACAGCCTGCACCTCTGCAGCAGCAGGGTTTCCCAGAGAAAGCTTCTGACCTGCATTAGAAGTCTCAGTCCACAGTGAGAGTTTTTCCCAAGGAAAACACACAGTGTGGAGCTTGGATCTTGGCACTCTTTTTTTGCCCTGAAGATCTGCTCCTACTGTATAGCACTACTTGCAACTATAGATGTAGCTTGAGACAGGCAGACAGACCTCCCATCCGCTTCAGCTGAGTTGGTTCAGACAGTTTCTGGTACCTCCAGAAGAAGGAAGTGGTTTTATAAAGCACAGCTTTACTGCTGTAGAAATGCCACTATATGCTATTACTGGGTATAATTCTACCAGTAAATTGCTTCTAGTGCAGACTGTAGCCTTAATATTTTGTATGTGCTTTAATATGAATACATTAACCATTGACATACAGTTGTGTATAAAGGATTGCATAATTTTCATAGAAAGCTCCTAGCTTTGTAACGTTTCCTTTGGCAGAAGGAGGGTCATTCAGCTTTCTTGGGTACTGAAAAGTAGAATTTATTGCCCTTCACAGATTAAAAACTGATATTCTTCCCAACAAAGACTGGATCATTCTTACCTTTATATTTTTTTCTGCTTCCTGCCACTAAACAGTTGCCTACCCACCTGCGTCCCATCGCTTGCCCAGCTCTGCAAGCTGTCCTTCACCCATTTCTTTACAGATTCTCTACATGCTTCTCTTTACCAAACTTTCTGCCACTGCAGTGCTTTCAACCTCTTCCTAGCCCTTCCCAAACTTGAAAGAGTGCAACCGAAGTACAAGTGTCAGAGCAGAAAGTGGTGAGTAGGTATAGAATCAGGATATGGACCTTGATTTGGTGGATATGTATAGACTGTTACTATGAACTGAAGAAGGATGTTCTTCTCTTGCAGCTGCATTCAGATCTTCAGCCATTTGTTAAAGAAAGTTGTAGTGACACCATGGCTTTCAGTTTGAATTCAGCTCCTGCAGTCCTCCATCAGGAATTCCTTGGAAGGGAGGCATGGATCAAACAAATCAGAGAGGTAAATTAAAGCATTGTTTAGAATTTCCTAGTTTTGCCTTTTGTATCTCTTGTCCTATTTATACTTTCAGTCTACAGAGAAACTTGGATACTGCCAACGGACAAAACAACATAGAGGGTACGTCTGCTCTCCAAAACTTAACACCTCTGTCTTCCACACTTTCAAGACGGGGAAACGTAGGGACCTGACAGTTGAGCTCTGTCAAACTTCCATGTGTCAGTGTAACAAGTGGATTCATTTGCGTGGAGCATATGTCTGTTCCTCTGCACTACTTCTTCAGTCCCACGTCTTAGCTTAAAGCTACTTTCACTGGCAGCTTAAAGCAGAGAACTTTGCATTGCAGTGGTTAAAAGGTAGGCACAGATTTCCTTCTGCCAACTTGGCTCTGGGAGCAGTAACTTTGGATGGTAGGGGGCGAAGATCTGGGGAACTTGCCTTCTTGACCACTACGAGATATTTGTGAGATCTAGCTGGCTGATATCCTTATTCTTTATTCTCTTAATTCAGCTGTTCTTTTCCTCTAACCCTTAGATGAGGAAGGCAATAAGAATAAGATAGCTACGTGGTGTAGACCTTTTTTATGTGCCATGTAGCACAGCAGGATTCAGGTCCATGAATAGCTTCTTGGGTGTTGTTGAAATACAAATAGATAACTGTAGAAGACAGCAGAGAGGAAAAGGTAGGAAAACACCAAACTTAAGCATTTTGAGTTCCTGCATCAGTCAGACATGTTTTGTCTGTCTAAACAGCAATGATGGGTACCATTTGGAAATCCTTGCAGTTGTTACACAGATTTTTCAGTAGAAGAACTGCTGCCTTCAATAAGCAGCCAGCTCTGTGCAAGCATATTCATTCACGCTGCGCTCACTGGTGGCCCCTTTCCTTGCTGGTTTGAAAGCAGGACTCTCGTGTAGAGGGTGTGGAGTCTGAGCCTCTACCTAGTCCTACGTTCACAATGGCCAGGTTGCAGCCTGCTTCACACATCACACACAGGAGGCATAATCTCTTCAGCAGCGAAATTTTGGGAAATATATGCAGAATCTACAGGAGTGGTATCGAGTTGAGGGATCTTAAAGTGAAGCAAACCTTTTGTCATTTTGAAATTAGGGACTGGTAGTTTATAATGTGTGACAAATTTTGCAATTCTGCAGTCTCAACACGAGGCTCATGTGAGAGTTGAATGTAAATGGATTTGGATGATTGCAGTTGGAGAATAATGCTATTACCACAGCACAGTGTATAAAAGCTTTGAAACAGTTTCCCATCTGCAGAATCTAGAGGAGGTTGCAGGACTCCAGGAGTGCCGTCTGTCTGCTTACTAATTCTCATAGCAAAAACGGGCATTATAGAAACAATGAAGCATTTCACTCTGAAGGGAGGGGAACAAATAAATGTGACGTGCACTATGCAAAAGTATCTACTAACTACTACTTTAGCTCAATACAAAGTGGAACACCTCGTCCAGGGGCCTTTCTTAGCTTGTGTTGATTTAGAAAGGAAAATTGCCTTTCATTAACTGCAGACTTTTTGAGATATCATCCATAGTCACATTCACTATGTGACATTCAGTGTAGGCCAAGCACTCCAACCAGAGGCTTTCTCATGTTGGCAGTACTTCTAAGAATTTGCTCACAAGCCACTCTCTTGTGCAGTGCCATTTGTGTGGTTTAAATAGGCAAAGCACACACAGAGCACTCAGTCCCTGTCAGGTAGAATTTTTCTTAGTAGCTGAGTTTATCACTAGGCATATGAAGATCATGTTCTGGACCTTTAATTACTGTTAAGTAATCTGGCTTTCTTCTTTGACTGTTTGCGCATATAAGCACTGTATGGTGGATTAAAGGCAGCACCTCCCCTTGGCAGCTTCATCCTCCTGCAGGAAGGTCTTGGAGTTCAAGAAAGTGGAAGTGGAGAGTCCCCTGGCACCTAGTGGCCTCCACAGTGGTATACTGCTCAGAAAGCATGGAGCTGGAACTTGGTGTCTGTCATCCATAGCTTGGGTGAAAGCAGTCTTCAGAGAGGTCATGAAGGATGCCTGAACTGTGGTGGAGCGCCCAGAACTTGTGTGATTGTCTCACCACAGTCCTCTTGTGGTGAGGTCTGGATACAGTGGCTGTTCCCAAGGTAGCCTTCGAGTGGAGACAGCCATGTGTCCCCCTCTGCTGCCCAGCTGAAGGCCTTTTAAAAGCCCCCTTGCGTCTTCATTTGGAAAGAATAAAATATATCAGATATCCAGGTGCAGAAGGTTGCATCAGCACTGAATATAGGTATCGAGAAGATTAAATTTCATCCAAATCCGAATCTAGAGACTGCCTTAACAGAGACTTGGGATATGTATAAGATCATGCCTTGTCATAGGAGGAAAGAAATGTGTAGGTATGTGTATGTATACGTGTGTGTGTATACATGTGTATATATATATAAATATATGAATGAATGGTCCATAAAGACCCGAGTCTCTTGATCTCACTAACCTCACCACCAACACCTTCCACCTTTGTGCATTTAAAACTAAAATGCCCAATGAACTGTTCAGTCATGTGTCTGTTTTAAAAGGAGTACAGGTTGGAGTGGAGTCCTGAAATCTAAAAAAAAAAAACCAACAAAACAAACAAAAAATAAAAGCTAAAAAACCCCCACAAACCAAACCACCCAACCTTAAATGGTTCCTAGGAAACACTGTGGTAGACAGACAAAGAAATGCTTGAATTCTCTTCTTCAGACAAAGTGTTACAATGGTTGCGAAATGAAGTCCCACTGAGCTTTTGGAAAGCCTTGTATTCCTAAAATTTAGCAGATAATCCAGGATTATAGGATGGAGGATTTCCTAGGGGTCAAAAGATAGAAAAGTTGGTCACGTTTAGCCACTTACAGATACTAATTGCAAAATGAGCAAAAATTTTCTGGCTTCAACAGGTGTCCAACATCTAAGCAGTGAGGTACAAAAGATCTAAGTATGAGTGAAGAAGTTAAGCAGAATACCCCAAGAACAGGCCTAGAATCCATCTTGGCTCATAGCATTTGTAATTTAGAAAAAGAATAAGTAAAAAACTAGAACCATCTCTTCTAGGGCAAGGTAATTCATGTGCCTTTCACCGTATCTTTTTGAGCCTTCTCAGAAGAAGCAGGGATGGAAGAAAAGCATTTATCAAGCTTTTCTCAAGTATAGCTTTTAAAACGTAAAAAGGGCCATCTCATCCAAGAAAGAAAAGGCAGTCTTGGAAAACATCCTGAAAAGCTGCTCCAAAAGCACTGTCTTAAACCATCCACTCGTGGTCTGCTTATCTGATGCATTTTGAGTAATTTCATGGGGGATTTGGGAATCCTTCTTCCTGGCAAGATGAGCTGATTTCACACCACCTCATTTATTAATGAAGACTGTCATGGTATTGTTGTCCCTTGCTGCTGGCATATGGTGATCTTTGGTATTCAGGAAGAAGGCTGAGCCGAGTTGGCCATTCATGTCTCTAATGTGCTGCTAAGCAGATGCTTTTCTGTGAGTGCCCAGAGCCTGGCATTCAGAGGCTGAACTCCCCAGCCAAGCAGTGAGACCTAGAAAGTTATCAAAGTTTGAAAAGAATGCATACCCCTTGCAAATCAGGCTTAATACCTTTGAGGAAGCTAAACTAGATGCAGAAGTCTGGTGTAAAAGGAAATAAAGATCTGTGTGTCTGAGATCGGAGTCAGTAAAAGCTAAAGAGCCAAACTGCTTGCAAAGATAAAAGAAAAAAAGCAAAGGTGCAGTTGTAGTAAAGAAGGCTTAGGAAACAGATTAGATAAGGCTGCTGCCTGGAGAAGCACAACTGCCATTGACTTAAATGCTTGAGAGGGACAGAGCATAAGAAAATATTCTTGCTGTTTGTTACGTGTATTAGACACAAGTGGAGACGTGCCTCTTCTGGTATTGCTAAGACTAAAAACATGTTGGCAAATTCTCTGCTGCAGTGTGAATCTGCATATAGGCAATCATTTGCTAAAGAACATATTTCTGGTGTGTTCTGATACACAATATAGCTCCTAGATATATTTTGAAGCCGTAAGATTCAATCACTCTGAATAAAAGTTGGCAAATCAAATAGATGGGAATACACAAATAAGGAAGCAGTTATTGGCAGTGGTTTTGCTACTCCAAATGCTATCAGGCTGTTTTCTTAACATGCATTCCAGAAAAGCTGGCTTTTAAGAAGCTTAAAGAGAGTTTGTAAAGAAGTTTTGTGGATGAGTCCCCTTTCTCCTTCAGTAAAATCAGTTTTGTTATCTACTGTTTTCCTTCCTGTTCTGCTTGCTTAGTTTCTCATTGGTTCTTTTCTCTATTTTATTTTTCCTCTTTAAAAAAAATTAATTTATTTTCCAAATCTGTGCCATCTCAGCAACATCTCTGCAAAGCTGTGCTTGCCACATCACGTTCCTCTTCAGTGCAGGCCTCTGCTCTTCTCCTCGTGCCAGTTGGGCTGCTCCTCTTGGCTGCTGTCTTAAGTCCCCACAGAGGACATGGAGAGGTAGAGGTTCTAACCTACATCTTTTCAGGAAACGTGTTGCAGAAGAACTGAGGTTTGTGTCTTCCCTTGTGGAGACTAAAGGGAAAGAAAAGGGTGATTTTTTTTTTTTTTCCCCCTCAATGTGCCTGAAAAGGGAAGAGATGGTGTTGGATGAGGTGGTCTGACCTAAGGGAAGGGCTTCAGGTTGGTTAAGC